GGGAACTAAGATAAGCGTGGTTTATCTTAATGAGCTCGCCACTCATCCAGGCGTGCATGTTCCCTTGTTGAATATGCTGGGAAAGATACCAGGATCCATACTTGCAAGAGTCCACTGTGAAGTAGCACCCACATGTGGAATAGGGCTTGCTGCCACTTATGTGGAAGGAAATGAAAGTGCAGCTCTAGGTACTGACCTTGGAAGACTCTTGGGAATACAACATGTTAAGTGGAACCCAGCAATTGAACCAGTAAAGGAGTTTCGCTTCAAGCCATTTTCGTGTGTTGATTGGTGGAACATGCACTATTTAGGCTCCAGCAAATTTTCTCCTGTTCTGGCATTTGTTTGTCTTTCAAAATGGAACAATCCACCCAAAGGGGAATGCAAAATGTCTCTTGCGCTTTACTTCGAGCCAGACATCGTCCTGCCTCGTCAGATTGCTTCACTTAATTCTGTACCTAGCTTTATGCTAAGGAAGGAATTGGGAACTCTGACTTTCAAGCAAGGGGAGAGACGGGCCTATGCATTTGAAGTCAATTTTGGAAAGCCACAGGTTGAAGGCAAGAGTGTCACTCTTAATTTTGCTTCTGCATATTGTGGATTGAGTCAGTATATGGAATCTGACATTGTGATAGACTTGACACTGATGAGTAGTCCTATGATGGGAGGAACATTTACTTTAGCCTTTGTGGCAGGGAGCTACCTGAAAAGCATTAAAAATATGCAATTTTTGGATGCTCTTCCACACATAACTTTTAACTTTGAAAAAGGAGGCAAAAGCACACGGAGTTTGAAATTTCCGGGCAAGTTGTTTCCTACATACCAAAGTTTGGACCGGTGGGATCTCAATGCTAGCAAAGAGGATGATGTTTCTGGGCATTTTGTTCTTTATCAAAGAGATACAGTGTCAAGTGCTCTTGAGGGTGATTTAGTCTTCCGTGTTTCTGCACGAGTTTCTGGGGAGCCTACTATGCATGGAGTTAGTGTTGGATACCCGACAACACTCACAAGGGCGACCACTGGGAAATTATCAAGTCGAACTTTGGGGGAGAAAGTTAGAAAACCTGTTGGCTATGCTAAAGGACAGGCTCACATGAATTTGGCTGATTTCAAAAGAGTTTACTACCCGATGGCTGAATGGACATACTCTCCCGAGAAGTATGAAGGGAGAAGGGATGATAGAGACATCTTGAGGCTTCTGCTCAAAATGAGACTTGATGGGAC